AATCTTGTAGCTTCTTTATAGCTTTTTGCCCAGACTTCTATATCTTGATTGCCTATTTGAATTAATAAGTCTTCAATGTTTTTCTTCTTACTAGGTTTTAGCACTACCAATTCTGTTTTATTTAGATTTATCTCAATATCATTTAGCTTGTAGAACTCATTTAATATATCAATTGTTCTTTGCATATTTTTTTGATTACTCGTAAGCTAGGTTGTATTATCAGCATATGCTAATACTCCCACTTTGATTTTTAATATAGTATCACTTTTCTCATTATCATTTGTATAGAGGCTTTGCATTTTATAACCAAGATCAGCTTCTTGCATCTTATATAGTAGCGGGTTATAAAAGATTCTTCATATCAAAGGAGAGAGTTCCTCTTCTTGGTCTATACCATCTCTTGCCTAACAAACTCAGTATTTTCAAAGTCAGTTATAATACTAAGTTTTCTATTTTTATATAGCTCCATTATGAGGTCTATTAATTTTACTGAGAATCTTATTCTTTCTAACACTTTTTTAAATGACACCATACTGACTGAGTCAAAGGCTTTTTTCATATCCTGAAATATGATCTAGAGCTCTTTCTTTTTTTCAACTGCTTTTTCTGTTATATTGTTCAAGATATGAATAGGTACTGATATGCTTTCCCCAGATAGATCTGCAAAGTTTGCTCCTTTTAATATCTTATTTCTACTTATTATTTTGTCTAATCTTGTTTATACTATTCTGGTTAGAATTTTTCTGCACGTTTCTAATAGCACTATCAGTCTTGTATTGCTTAAGTTGTATTCCCAGAAGTTGTTTTTTTGGAATTAGATATATCTGTTCTAACTTCTATTTATCTGAGATTTTGTCTTGTTCAAGACTTTTGTTTAGTAGCCTTATTATCTTTTGTACTACTTCTGGTGCTAATTTCTTAAAGAGGATATAACCAATACTTGATATTCCTGGTGCTATATCATTAAGTGTTTTGCTTAGTGCTTGTATCTATTCTTCTGCTATAATAGGACTTAACACTTCTTTATATATTGTAGAATCAATGTTCTTATTTGGTTTATACTCTTTTTTCCACTCTTTTCTTATTTCACTAAATTTTTGTTTTTTTTTTCTGAACTGTTTTTGAAAATGTAGGACTACTTGTTGCTTCACCTCTGCTTCTTTGCTAAAAAGTTCAGGATTCTGTAGTCTTGAATTTTCTTCTACTAATACTCTATTCAATGTGTAAGATCTACTTAACAAGCTCTGGAGTATTTTCTTCTTGTTTTTTTCCATTGTACCAAATCTTATTTCTACCTTCTTCTGTATTTCTTTATCTTTTCTTCTTTGTTTCTCTTTGCTTATCTTTTTTCTTAATATTTTTCTCTAATTTCTTAACTCATCTATTTGTACTTGGTCCCAACAATCTGGCACTTGTGCAATTTGCGTTTAGTGTAGTTGATTTATTTTTTTGATTCTCCTGTTTAATCTTTCTTGTTCTTCAAAATTAACTTTCTCGTATAGTTTTGCTTGTCTTGTTTTTTTGCAAATGATACAGAAACTTGATTTCTTTGTATATTTTTGATTTAGAGACTGTTATCCTTTCTTGTGATTCAGTTTTCTTTATATTGGTCCAAGAGATATACTTTAGTGCTGCACTCATAATTGTACTACTTATATTATCCTATTCTAAATTGATGTTCTGTATCTCATCAAGTAGCATCATTATATCTTTTTTAATATCCTTTTTTCTAATAATGCACTCTACATATTTTCTATTCTTTTGAAGTTGTTTTATGATATAAAAAGACTTTTCTTGTTGGTTTATCTTGATTTCTATTTTTGAGTTTTCCATATCTGAGTATTTTGCTTGTTTTAATTTCTATACCAATCAACTTATAATCACTACCTGTAATTATATTTACATCTTTAATTGTAGCTTTATTAAGTAGGGCTGCTATTTCTTCATCTACCCAAATGTAATCTATTCTTGATGCTACTTCGTCATTATGCCAGGTATATTTCTTTTTGTGTGGGTTGAGAAAGTGATATGAGTCTATGAGATCTCTATTTTTAAACCACTATAATATAGTTTTTCCAAGCCCCTAACTTTTATGGCTTGTATTACTTGTATTTAGTTTTGTGTTGCATATTGTATTAAAGTCTCCCAATATGCACATATATATATTGATTTTATTGTTGCAGATCTCACACATCAGTATTCGTTGGACCTCTCAATTGATCTTTTTATCTGTTGGCAATAAATATGTTACCTATATTTAAAAGACTGTTTTTCTGAAAAAGAGCTCTATTTTTAATATATGTGTTGAATTTTACTACTCTACTCACATGTTTTGTCTAGGATTTATTAACTAATACTCCTTCTTCTGACCTTTTAGATTTTTCTCTTCTTTTGTTGACCAGTAGCTTATATATCTATATTGTTCTAAATATATCCATCTGCCTTCTTTTTCATTTATGTTTGTTTCTACTATCTCAATCACGTCTAGCTTTTTTTCTTTCCTTAAATCTGCTAGTGTCTTCAGTTTCTGTTTATTTAATTTTAGCTTATTTATATTATAAAAACCTAGTCTTAGCTGCTCAAAATTAGTTCTCTTCTCCTTATATTGTTTTTGTATAGAGCTTGGTTGTGGAGCAGAAATAAGGTTTTTTGCTCTGCTTTGTCTTTTTAATTCATCTAAGATGTCTCTCAGGAGTGCATTGCCAATAATTGTTTTATTGATCTAAATTTCTCATACATCTCTGCAAACATCTTCTCTAGTTTATCTTCGCTTCTCATTTCTGTAAATTTTCTTTTTCTATCACCAATTGCTGTTGTGTTGAAGCCTGTTGCATATCCCAATGCCTGATACCTGTTTTTGGTTTTCTAAATTGGTTAGGGGTCTTCTGAAATTGCTTCTGGCTCTAGCAGTACTACTCTCTCTGCTTTTGCTATTTCTACTATTAGAGGTATTTCTTTTGATATTTTGATTTCCTTATTTATATTGTTGATTTGTGTGATATTTATTTTTGTTTGCAGTCTTCTGTTTATACTTTCTCTCTTTATAATTTTCTTTATTTGCCGCATATTTAGTTTCTCTATATTAACTATTCTTATCCTATTTCATCTGATCATTATAGTAAAAGGGCTTTGCTAGAATTGCTTTTCATAGATTAGATCTTGATTCAAAATATATAAATGCAACTCCTCTTTGATTGCCATTACTATTACTTAGTATATATAGAAATCCAAATCAGTTTGAAAATCTAAAACCATCAACTATCAAGCTAAAACCGGTTATCAACCAGCTATCTGAAATTATAACTGATTATTAAATTAAAATAGATGATACAAGTATCTGATTAAATTGGGCAATTCGATGAATACAGATAACACAGATACTTAATAAATCTGAATGACCTGAATACCCACTTAAAAAAAAAACTACACTATTTGATTTAAATATAAAATTATCATATTTAAATTGCTACAGCTTTATTTTCAATTGGTTATATAGTACAAAATTTAGCAAGAGTTTGATTGCGAATAACTTTGAAGATTTTTTTAAAGTCATAACTAGCGCATGAGGAAATCCGACTTTGACTATTTTATTACAAAACATTCTGATATTCCAGCTTGTTATGAACTGTAATTTTTTTTTTTTTTTTTTGTGATTAAACCACTAATAATACCGATACGTGATTAAAGTCTTAATCTATATAAAGTAAACTTCTGTGTTATTAAGATATCAGTCATATATTTGTGCAAATAAAATCTAAATGCTTATATAGTTTATCTAAAATACTATACCTAATTTTTAACTCAACTTGGATACTATCATAAAGCACAGCATTTAAGTAATATTACCAACAATAAGAGCAGTTAAATATATATATCAAAATTATTAAGTGAACTCAATATAGTAAGTATTCAATATAGTCTATATTAATGATTTTTTTTTTAGTCCAATAGCTTCACTACAAAGAGTCAGAGTAAGTAATACTTATTTATGCCAAATAAAAATATATTAAGTAACATCTGATTATAAAATATGAATACTTACTTTATAGCCTTGTTTTATTATACAAATTTTTAGTCCCTTTTATTTTTCGATATATTTGTTAGATTTATCAAATAATGAACTATAAATAAAAAAACCTTGAGTTTTGTTATTAGATGCATTCAGAATTAAATAATTCAAATCTAGGTTAAAAATAATAAGTGTATTAAATAAAACCTGAAAGTGATTAAATGAGAAAACTGATTACTATAAATTAAGGTATATTTAGATACAAGAAATATATAGGTCAAAATTCTTACTAAGTATAGACCAAGAAACCTGTTAATTCATCTGATTAGAGATTTATAATTTTATCTCAATTATGCTGTTTGAAGTTTTTTTTTTTTGTTTTTTTTGTTTTTTTTTTTTAAATGTTATAACTAGCATTTTTCTTATTATTATTAAATACATTTTTTTGTAATCATTTTAACTATTGATATGATCTATCTATTATGTAATGCAGCTATCATCATTAATTATTACAACCAAAATATTGAAATTTGCTAGTTACACAAATTCTATTTTCATAATACTATCATCAGATAAATCTGTAGTAGCCTTTTCTTTTATCTACACATACATATTGTTCAGGTACTAGGCTGCAATTTCAAAAATAAAATCAAAAATATTTCTTTAGGGTTCACGACACTTATACCTAGAAAGATAAGTAACATTTATTAAGCAAAATTGCTTATTAGATTTCAAAGCAAAATTATAGTTTCAGATACTATCTATTAACTATTATCTTCTATAACTTGTTTGGTCTAAAAATAGGAAAATATTGCTTATTATGCTTGAGAAATATCATTTGTTTAACCATGTCTGGATGGAGCCTATTACGCAATGCTGTAATATGCAATCTAGCATCAGAAAATACATGCTCGGAAAGGACTAACGTAGCCAGAACTGATAGATATTTTCGAGCTAGTTTTGATAATGTGGGATATTTGTTTGCATTATTTCACCACCATGTTAAAAGGTCGTACTTTCTTCTTTGAATAGGCTTTTGAATATAACAATCAATCTCACTCTCTTTATTTACACTACCTGATTCTTCATTACTATATAAATCTGCCATTAAATCATTAGTTATTATGGGTTTAGAAGCTGAAATACTAGAAGACTCAACAAAACTATCATCTTTTGAAATTTTTTTGATCAAAGGTTGGCAATATTCTTTCTCTAAATAAAGCCTTTGTACTATATTGATTGTGGTTATCTTTATTTTCTCATCATCAATAAACTTCAAATTTTTTATTTGTAGATCTAAAAATGATACAATAAGTCCAATCTCGTCAGGAACTTCCCAATACTCCTGGAGAGAAAAGTAGCTCACAGCTTTGACCAGATTATGCAATTCTACACTAGTAACAGGTGGTTCTATTAAACGACAATTTTTAAATCTTGAATCATTACACTGTTTAGATATATTTTTTTTTAGCTTTTCTATGATCTTTTTTTTTTTATTCTTGTGATGCATGTAACAGTTTCCTAAGTTGCTCTAAAATACTTGGTGCTTTATACTTATACTCTATATCTGATTCAGAAGAATTTTTATTATCAGCAATAAATTGACTTTGATCACTTATTTGCTTTCTAGGTTCAAACAATAAATTGGTATAGTCATCTTCAGCTTGACTATTAGAAGGTGCAAACTTTTTGATAAAAAGCTTCATTGTTGGATAAATAAGGTTGAATGTAGGGTAATTAGAGCTAGAAAATATAAAAGTAGCATCATAAAATGGTTTTAACAATAGAATAAGACTATCTAATAATTGCTATTCATTTTTGGTTAGGTTTATTAACTTCAAATATTTACTATCAAGCTGGTCACGCCATTTTAATTCAGATGGCAGCATAAGGACAAGATAATTTATTGCTTTTCGCAATTCCTTGAGCCTAATTCAGACCAAGTATGAAGAGTTCTATCTCGTTGATACATCCTCAATTACTTGATAAATTGTTGCATAA